TTGCATCAGTTTAGTCTATTGAATATCTGGGTGCAGGCATGTTCCCCATTGCATGGAATATTAATCCATAATGAGTGAACATCCAATCCATGGTATATTTTACCTAATTTTTGTGGGATCAGGGCTTTGTTAGCCATCAGAATTAAAGATAGTTTACAAAGTTCATGTGCACTTAAAGATAGAGAAATCAGGCCCTCACCCTAGCAGTATACTTCCTTCTATCTTGGGTCATATCTGGCTGTGGGGTAGAAATCTTGTAATGGAGAGGATTGATTATAAAAGATTTGAAATACTCTAGGCACTTACATTCTCTTAGAGATCGTTCTGATTGGAATTCATCTCCTATTATCCCTTTTGCGAATTCATCATCCGAATTTCTTTCTAGCATAACTTTTCTTTTCCTTTTTTCCTGCCCAGGCCCTAGTAATGTTAATGGTTGCTAAGTCATGTTAACCTTTTTATGTTTATGTTGACTTTATGGTCTGTTACAGTGGCTATTAACAGCATTATCTTGGTTAATTCAAAACATGTTTGTCATAATTTACAGTAGCTTACTAGATCCCGACGGGTTTATATTGAAATACACATTTTCAATTAAAAAAGGAGTATGTGAAAATTCAAGAAAATCACCAGGGAAAGTCTTGATTAATTATCAATTTCAATCATGCAGCAAGAATTATCTGTTCACATTTCTTCATTATAATAGATGTGACAATTGACACCATTATTGTAACTTTATTTATACATACAAACATACATACATATATATATATATATTTCAAATGCACTGTGCAGTCCATTCTCCATTGAATTCAAAGTTGCTATAGTCATCAGCTTTCAGTCTGAGTTGTCCAAATTACATCCCAAATCTGATCCGAGAACTCCAAGACTATGGGTAAGCATTATTCCAGGTTTCTGTTGCATATCAAAGCCTTTTGCTGCATCTAAAACTGTCTTTTCAAATTTCAGATAGCGATGGAAACTCTTCCACTTGAACTTGTTCGAACAAGGTGAGGTCCACAAATTTATGAATATCACTCTGAGAAACAAGTATAGTTGGAAATGAAATAGAAAAGTGAAGAAAGAAACTTATGTTTATTTATGCATCATATTGATAATTTGTGCTTGATTATATGCTAGTGGCTTTCAAATTGTAATTCGCAAATGTTGGAAACTTCAATCGCTTTGATTAAATGTAGGGTAGGAAGATTGTTTTGTCATTGGTTGAAATTGCCCCTCTCTGTAGAATTGTATACTAAACACAATTTTATAAATAAAAATGCAACTTTTTTGAAGGTAACATGAGAAACATGAAAATAAAGTATCAAACTCATAATACAATCCATGGGATTGAATAATTACCTATATTTCAATAGGATTCGATCAACCTATACTTGGACGATGAGTAATCCAATTTCCCACCCTATCCTCCTTTCCAAGTAGATACCAATCATGGTAGAAGATCATTTTTATCCTATTCTTCCACCATCAGGTGCACCAAACACCCTTTAAACATATAATGAAGTAAAATTGTCATACGAAATGAATCAGAAGGTGAAGCTTCTAGAAGAGATGCAGATATTAATACATGCTTCTTCCTACCTCTTGTGACTGGGAAAGCTGAATGAAGTCAATAAACCATATTGAGGAAATACTAAAGATGCAAATGCCTTGCTTCTCCATCTTATTATTAACTTCTTGCAATTATTACATGTTCTTTGTTTTAGAAAAATAAGTAAACCTATAATGCACTGAAGCTACTACTGATTATTTCTTATTCTCAGTCCCTCCCTTTTTGTGTGATCTCCGAGAAGCATACAATGTGAAGCACTGCCAGCACATCTATGGTGTTCATTGGTTCTCTTGGCAAATTAGCAGAGCATTTGACTCCAATGCTAAGGACTGATATAAGGCATTCCCAGATGTTCCCAATGCTCATGTCTCTGCCGCTTTGGCCAGTTTGATTAAAGACTCCTTCAGTTTCGAATTTGATTAAAGGAACAACTATCTCCACCAGACAATCACGCAGAGCCATCTTAACATAACCATGTAGGTTCCGACTCTCCTGTAAACATGCTGCTTGTGGGACATTTGCTTGTACACAACTCCATTAAAAGGATGCCATAGCTGTACAAATATGCAATTACAAACACTTCAAGAAACTGCCACTATATCTGGAAAAGGTCAAATGCTGAATGTATCAACTTTACTAGATGATAAATTAAACACAAAATCGTTTTATATGTCATATAAACTCAACTCTATCGGAAGTAGGAACTAATAGGGAAGGGAATTGCCTGGTGGAATGTATCCCATAGTTCCTCTTTGAATTGCTTTGCGCCTAAATGGATCAGTCAGTGGTCACTGTTAGAATTTAGATTTTCTCTCTAGATTTGTTTTCTATTGTTTGACATAAAGTAATGCCACCTTTGACTTAGAAGATTTGTCTACCTAATGCTAAGATGTGTTAGATTTTTGCATTTCAAGCTTTCTATATATAAACTACAAAATGAATGAATAAAACTGCAGAATACTTCTTTGTTCTCTTTTTTTCATATTTCTGCTACATGATTTTACTACCGAAGAAACCTTGTTAGCAAGAAATCACTAACATGGGCAGTAAGGTCACTATCAAGAAGAAAGTTGCTTGGCTTTAGATCACAATGGACAACCGGCCTGTCAAATTGGGAATGCGGTTTCAGCCCCTGGACTAGATTCAAGTTTCTTGATTCCTGCTGCTTAGTTGAAACTGGATGTAGCCAACTTTCTAACGTCATATATGGCATAAACTCGAACACCAAAGCTTTGAAGCCGTTGCCTTGAAAATCAATAGTTGAGGAAGAGGAAATGATCTTCACAAGGTTCCAATGCCTAAGGTTCCTTAGCACCTCACGTTGAGCCTTGACAGTCTTTAGAATCCTCTTTAGACGGAACACTATCTTCCCTTACCAATTATGTTGGTTGAAGAGAAACCCTGAGTTGCATGGAGGAGCTCTGCATGTATAGGAAAGTTTTGGATATTTCTTTTTTTAAAAAGCTGACCCAACGGTTGATTGCAAAGTGACATGTCTAGGACAAAACAATGAATGAATTGATATGGGTGGGGAGATTTACAATTGAATCTGGTAACACACCTCTCAGGTGATTTTAGGGAAATTACAAGAGGCTTAGATTGGTGCAATTAGTCAAGGAAGTAGAAAACTTAAGTCAAGGGGGTTGCTGCCAAAATTTAAGGCTTCCAAATTCTTCATGCCATTCATACCCGTATATTATCAAGTAGAACGAGTCCTGAGGAATTGGCTATTGATGCTAGAATAGGCCTGAAAACTTGTTTTGCCCAGATTAGGGAGGGTCAAGCCTAAGTCAGGTGAAATCTGGCCCATTCAGCTATGTGAAAAATGAATCATGGACGAATATTTATAGAGCTGTTTAGGATGTGATTTTAGGGAACTTACAGGGCTTAGATTGGTGCAATTAGTCAAGGAAGTAGAAAACTTAAGTCAAGGGGGTTGCTGCCAAAATTTAAAGGCTTCCCAAATTCTTCATGCCATTCATACCCGTATATTATCAAGTAGAACGAGTCCTGAGGAATTGGCTATTGATGCTAGAATAGGCCCTGAAAACTTGTTTTGCCCAAGAATAGGGAGGGTCAAGCCTAAGTCAGGTGAAATCTGGCCCTATCAGCTATGGAAAAATGAATCATGGACGAGATATTATAGAGCTGTTTAGGAACTGTACCCGAGAATCTGCTTGAAACCAACTGAAAGAATTTTAAGTTGGAGAGCCGTCCAAGCTCGACAGGAATGTTTCCTTTAAGGTAGTTCTCCATCAGAGAAAAAAAAAGGAGAGACGAGATGTTCCCAAATGAAGGGGGAATTGTTCCTCTGAAATAGTTCATGGCAAAGTCGAAGAAGATAAAGCATCTTAGACAAAGAACCTAGCTCGATAGGAATTATATCTCCAAGCTCATTTGCATTTAGGTTGACAACTCTGAGGTTCCAATAATGAGTTAAGGTTATGCAATCCACTAACTTCTTGAGTGCTGATAGATGCAAGACTGTCATTGTTTGATGCCGACGACTGCTCGTTACCTCCTTTGCCAATTGTGGAAATGAAGAGAATTATTCCATGAGCTGATGACCCTGAAAGGATCAACTAGTATTCGGGCCGTGATGGCAGGCAATGCTTGTCTGTCAAGGGGAATAATTTAGCTAGCCTAGCAGATTGTATTGCTCCAACTGTTCATCATCTTCTTAAAGATTGCTTTAAACCAATTCGAAGCTTAAATTTTTCGTGCAAATGCCTTTGTATGCATTCTTTATGATTCAAATTATGAATTAGAAACAAAAACCTGTGATTATGTTCAGAAGTAAGCAGGACATGGCTGAGAAGCACCATGCTTGTAATGGCCAAGGCTTATAATTGTTACTACTAAAGGTAAACCTGTGGATTGCACATGGCCTACCTGCTCAGTTTATACCTCTCAAGATGCGACTCACCCACCGAACACATCACAACTCCCCTAAAAATTTGAGAGTCATGCCTAAGCGACCAATTGAATGCAATAGGAACCTCAATGGTCGAATTTATTCCTCCCTTTTAAAGGGGGCGAACAAATGATCTAGTATATGGCAGCCCTTTTTCACCTTTATTAAAGGCCACTTATATGATCAGAAAATGCTTCGAACTCTTCATTGTATTATTAAAAGGTATAACTAAAAGGCATACATGTTCTGGCGCTCAAATTTAAAGAAAGCAAACCAACAGCATACTTTATTCCAATATGGACAGTCGAAAAGGCTGAAATATTTACTCAACTGAAAACTCAAACAACATGGTGTGTTGATACCTGTTACCAGGTTGAACAACAACTGATGGGAAGTTTGGTTGGTTTATGGCATTTGGAAATCCCTGTGTCTCCAAGCATAACCCAGAATGTTTATTATAAACAGCACCTCCTTTCCCAACAACTCTATTCACATAGTTAGCAGTGTAAAACTGCACCCCAGGGGCACTGGTCCACAAGTTAAGGACCCTTGCACTCGATGGGTCCTTCACTTTGGCAGCATGTTTCATACCCAATTTTTCTTCCCCACCACCAAGCACATAGTTATGGTCATAACCCAAGCCTACCTCCTGGATTGAAGTACCAACCTTCTTCTCAGCAGTGAAGTCGAAAGGGGTGCCTTCAACTGGCATGATTTCACCAGTCGGAATTGTGTTCTGATCCACAGGAGTTATATGCGATGCCCATATCTGAATTGAATGGTCAAGTATGTTCCCTGAATTGTGGCCTGCTAAGTTCCAGTAAGTGTGTTGAGCTAAGTTAATTGGAGTGGCCTTGTTCTCAGGCACTGCTTCCATGTCAAGTTTCATTGTTGTGCTTGAAGTTAGAGTGTAAGTTGCAGTCACAGACACATTGCCTGGGTAACCTTTAAACAGGAAAACAGTAACATTAGAGAGAAAAAAGATGTATACATACAGAGAGAGAGAGAGAGAGAGAGAGAGAGAGATAAATTACCTTCCTCCCCATCAGCGCTGTGATATTTAAAGGTAATGGATGGGTTTTCACCTTTCTTATATTCTACCACCTCCCATATTTTCTTGTCAAAACCCTTGAATCCACCTAAAGGAAAGAAAGAAAAGAAAAGATACAAAAGGAATGAAATTTGATTGCTACATACATTCACACAACAAATGCCTCTGTGCGGAAACAATGGGTACATCTGAAATGGGTGTCAAAGTCAATCAACAGCAAAACTATTCATTACCAGTAAAAGAAAAAATTATTATAGGTTAATATAATGGCCCTTCTGACTGACAACAAACAAATTTAAGAAAGTCAAGTTTGCTGTTGCAAATTCGTTCTCTCTATTTTATGTCTGTCACTTGCTGTATCTAAAAACAATGCATGTCTGCCTAGCAAATGATCGTATAAACAAGAGTTAGGATGGACTCCCAATTCTCAATAGTCACAACAGAAAACTTATAAGGGAAAAAAAAAGGAATGCAAAATTGATTCGCAGACCCAAGCCAAATTAATAGATAGAGCAAAGTTCCAAGAATGTTTTTGACTTTTTCTCTCATATAGTTAATAGCATATAGAATCAAAAACATAAATACTTTCCATTGCATCATCCATCAACAACCAATTGAAGCATGCAGAACATCAGTTTGATCTAGTTACTGCAGTCTCATTCTGGTCAGCGAAGATTATGACAAATGTCTTTTATTATTTAAGAATTGACGGAAAATATTAAAGGCCAAACAAATAGAGTGAACAAGATAATGAAAGTTCTTCATCATTCCTAGACATGACAATTTGAATCAAGCTTCAGCGAACCACCATTTAACAGACCATAGTTAGATTTTTCATTTTCAAGCAAATTAAATAATGCATGAACCGATTAACAATAATGTAAATTACAAGGAAAAACAACAGCACAAAAGATAGATCAAGAACAGTTGAGAAAAAAAGTAAAAAAGAAAAAGACAATTCTATACCATGGAGACTGTTTGGGGGGTTGTTGATTGGCAAAGAGTATTCAACTCCATTAAGAGTAAACTTGCCATCTTTGATCCTGTTTGCCACCCTTCCCACAATGCAGCCAAAAAAAGGTGAAGCACCTTGCTGATCACATGTAAATTAACCCAAAGATTAACATAAAAAAAAAAAAAAAACCATTCACTATCTCAACAAGCTATCAATTTGTCACCCAAATCACTTCCCAGTTCCCACATGTCAAAAATTTCTTTCTTGTGTAAGGGATCAGTATTACATAGCCAGAAACGAATCATTGTGTACGGCAAATTCCAAACATGATTTTCAAAAGAATCAATGTGGAATTAAATCTTCGAAATTGAGAGACAAGAGAATTTACCACATATGGTTCGAGAGTGTCGAACCCCAGGACAACATCAGCTAATTGACCTTCAAAGCCAAGAAGACCCATTGATCATTAACAATTCAGCATTCAGAAAAGAACAATAAATAAATAAAAAGATTAAACAATGATTAGATTTAACCAGGAAAAGCAAAGATTTGACGGAGATTACCGTTCTTGTCAGGAACAGAGAGAGAGGTGACAGTGCAGCCATAGTTGGTGATCTTAACTTGCATGGTTCCATTGTTGAGCTCGAAGATCTCTGGTTGGCCCGCCATTGAGACTTGAGTTGATGTTCTGTCTTCGGAAGTAAGAGAGTTTGACAGAGAGAGACTTTGAGAGCATTTTGGTACAACTCGGTTTGGTTGTTTATAAAGGAATCCAGTTCTGTCAGTGTTGGAAGGTCTTACGTCACTTGTGCGATCCTAATTCCTTTCTCCGCGCCACGTAGACAGCCCTTTCTCCTATGTATCGAATATTATCCAAACAAATCAGATCTTTAAGCCTTACTACTTTCTACATCTATGATTCTGATTTGTTCAAATACTATTAATTTAGACTTCAAAAATCAAACACAAAAACTTGTTTGAATTTTGAAAAATAATTCAAGGATTTTTTTGAATTATTACTCATAAAAACAAAATAAAATTATTTTCAAAACAAAAAATACA